GAAAAAAAATATAATAAATTTAAGATACACATTTAAGTTCAATCAAACATAGTGAATATATTATTTGGGTAACATAAATCAAATTTTATGGTTCATGGTTGAATTGTAATATATTTTAATTTATAATATTTACTGAAATTATATTAGATATTTATAAATATATTTAAGTTTTTAAATATATTAAAATAATAAGTTTTCAAATAAAATTTTATAATATTAAATCTATAACTTAGAAAATAAAAATCAAAATAAGAAACAAACATATTTTAAATATGGACATTTAAAAAATTGATTAAACATAAAATAAAATAAAAATACATTTAAATTTACTATTGACTAAACTTGAAATGAATTCAATGCAAAGGATGCCTTCCAAATATATTTAAATTTATCTATGTCGTTGTAAATTTTAAAACTTTTAAAAGTAATTTTTACTATTACTATTAAATCGAATAACTTGTAAACATGTTACATGCCATTTTTTTGTAACTAATAGCATTGATGCAATGTCATCATTGAGAAAAGAAAAACAAAATTACACTCCTTCTATTCTAATTTTTAGCATATCTAATTGCAGATGATGTAGAAAAAAAAAAGAACATACTTTTTGTTTGATGGACTTGTGAGTCTTAAATCATTTCTTCATCCTCGTGTAAGTGATGATCATCAAGGGTGTACTAATCGTCATAACCACAGTCATGCTTCTTAATGGTGTCCTTATCGGGGTCAGAGTATTATTCTTCTACACCATGTGTCACTATTTCCAACATTAAAGAAGATGACTTAAAATATAATACAACTTGCTTTCAAATGTGATTCATACCATGATAGAGTGGGGATGAATTTGGAATAAAGCGGAAGTTGAGAATTGATTGGGATGAGAAAAATGTAGAGAGGGAGAATGGGAAAAAGATTTTACAAAGGAGGTAGAGAAAATTTATAAGAGCGAGAAGATAAAAATAAAATAAAATTATAGATATATTGTGTAGTTATTATTTTAAAAGAAAGTAATCATCAATAAGGGTAAAATTTTAAGTTATAGAAGTTATAGATAGAGGTTATAAGAGAATACTAACCTGGAAACTATGAATGGGAAAGCATAAGATCAAAGGTATTAATGGCCTTCATCGATCAAAACACAATATGGAAGACATTGATGTACATCATTGACAATGAGTCATGGAACCATGATTCAATCGGGTAAGTCAATTTCAACAATGTGTTTTGACTTTTTTTAGGACAAAAAATATGTTTTGTTTATTGCTTGAAAGTATAGGGAGTGATGTTGTCAGAAGAATTATGTGCAACCCAGTTAGATACGATAATTGTGTGATTTGGTGATAGTATTGAATGAAAATTTTGGTAAGAAATAAAAAATACTATCTTACAAAATGTTGGATTGAGACTCATAATAGAGTGAGAACGGATTTGGTTTTTATTATTTTGAAAATAACATACTTAACGATGATTATTTGTGTGATTATTATTTTGAAAAAAAGTAACTACCTTACAGTTATTATTTTGAAAGAAAGTAACCATCAATGTCAATAATAATAAGAGGTAAAATTGGATAAAAGAAAGTGAAAACTAAATATTTATAAGTTTTAAAATATTTTTTTTGTAATTTTAAAACTATTAAAAATTAAATAACATTCAAAATTCATCAATTACATACTGCTTGTCTTTATAGCACCATAAAACAGTTGGGTTAGATTTTACATGTTCCTTGCTAACCATTAAATGAAAATTTACAATCTGCACATAGTAGAAACTACACTTAGTACTGAAATTGTGCAGCCTTAAACCGAGTTTTCAAAATACTTGTTCGTTGATTGATGGAAAGAAGTTGAAAGGAATCAAATCATAATCAATTCTCTAATTTGAATTGTTTAAAATAAGATGAATGTTGACGACAGAAAATTCTACACAATACTCCACTTTCTACTAACCAATTTTATGAATAAAATATAATCAACCATTTTTCTTTATTCCATTCTCTATTGAATATTCATTAATTGGGGCATATTGTAAAATGCAGATGCCTGGTTGTGGTACTTGTCTCCAATGATGACAAACATGCATGGACCTATGCCTCATTTTAACACCATTTTCAATTGGAGTTCTGATTCGCTCATCCACCTTCTTCCTCATTTTCTGCAATAAAATTTAAGTTACCATCCACACTAACAATAACAATACCCTTTACAAACTACGAACTAACAGTAGAACCAAGTTTTATTATATTTCAAAATTTTTCCACGTAAAGACTTCACTTCTTAAAAATTTACTTATCCACATTGTGACAATATAATAAAAAATTATTTGCTAAAAAAAAGTAAATATATAATCATTGAACTCGCAAATGGTAGTTAGTATTGATACACGATACGATACAATGCAGTTCACGTAACAAGAAATACGAATCGAAAGTAGTACCGTTTATGAACAAATCGTTTCCGAATTGCACGAATCGCTGGTGGAATCGAAAAATAGAGATATCTTAAATTTGAATTTTTAAAAAGTTTAATAAATTTAAATTCACTGTAAAAATAATGCAAAAAAAAATTGTAAAAATTACTAAATTTAATGTAGAATTTTTTTTAATAAGCGTGAGAAGATAGAATTGAGAAAAGAGAATCAACCTGAAAAAACGTGACTGAGGAATCTGAGCAGAAGTGAGAAACTGTCAATCCTTATATGCAATTGCGAAACTGCCAATCCTTGAAATCCTTCCTATGTTCTTAGCTCATTTGTTCGTTCTCATTCTATGTCAAAACCCAACAAACAATGATGGTCGTAATGTATACAATTGGTGAAATGTTTATTGTGGGCAATTAAAGTGGATTGATAAATGAAAAAAAAAAGTAGAAAGGTTTGAAGGAAATGGGCCTAAGGGGATTGAAGGGAAAACAGAGTGCTAAAGACGATAACCAGACATGACAGAGAGAAAAAGAAAAAGAAAGGTGTGAGGGGTTTGTTGCGAGAAGAAGATAATGAAATAAAGTGGCTGGTTGGGGAGGAAAAATTCGTTTTCTCTCAAATCTCGATTGCCATGAGAAAGGATGTACCATAAAATGGAAGATATATTATGCACGAATATGAAATTACTTTAACAAAAAAGGGAAGAAACAAGAAAGACAGGAATATGGAAGTGCGAACAATGAGTGTAGTTACTTAGATAATATGAGGTTAAAAGGAATAAGAGTGAGTAGTTACTTAAATAAAATTACATAATTACTTCTATTAATTATTTAATATGTAATATTATTAAGAGTAAAAAAGTTATAGTAAAAGTAGAAACTAAATGGTAATTATAAACGTTTGTATCACTTTTATATAATATTATAAATGAATGATTAACGAGAGGAAAAAAAAACACTTATATCGTTAAATATTTTTAAAAGTAAAATAAAAAATATAATAATATGAACAGTTATTTATAATTAGTTAATGATGATTATTAAATCCTATTAATAAAGTATATAACCGTTTATAAATTATAAAAGTAAAAAATGATTATAGGAAGAAGTATTATCTTTTATCTTTATAGATAGAAAATAGATTAGTATATATTAGAATAGACAGGATAGGTTATATGATAAATAGTAATTGAATAAAAATATATTTTATCTTTAAATTTAAATATTATTTATCTGCATTATTTTTATATTTGTTTTAATATATATATTTTAATTTTTATCTCTTTAAATATATTATTTTATATTTATTTAAATATTTTTTAACTTCTTATTTATTTAAATAAATTATATTTATATTTATTTCAATATTATTATTTTAGCTTGTGCATTAGATAAATTAAATATTTATTATATGTAACTAAAATCTATAATAAATTATATATATAAATAAATATTATGTTTAAATATATAAATTATATTTAAAATTTATATAAATAAATATTTTTAACATAAATTATATTTTAAATTTATAATAACTAATTTGTATTGTAGTATAATATTATTTTTATTTATTTTTTTTGACGAAAATAAGTTTGTTCGGTACATAAGCTTATTTTAGGATCATATAACTTATTTTTATAAGTTAATTAAAATGACTTATAGTTTATAAGATCTTATCTTTTTTTTTTTTCTCTTAAAATAATATATTATCATAATATAAATTATTTATCATAAATATAAATATATACACTTATAAATAAATAAAATTATTTATTTATTATAAATTCAGTTATATGAAGTACACAATTTTTATATATATTACATAAACTAAAATAGTATTTAATTACTATATCCTTAATTTGCTTGATATTGTTTGGAATAAACAAAGACAATAAAACAAAGAAAATATAAATCCTATTCTTTTAAATTTAATATTACTTCTTAACGGTCTAGTTTTCATTGAACATAATCCAATTACATTAATAAAGTTTGAATTTAAAAAGTTAATAAAGTGCGAATTAATACTTTCATCAGTTTAATGATTAATTTATTATTTTTAAAAAGTTGACATTTAAAGAACATAATTTTAACTATAAAACAGTGATATAAGTGATACTAATGTAATGTGAAGTAATTTTAAATATAAAAATTGTTTATGTTCTTCAATTAAGGGTTTAGATTCTAATTTTAAATATGGAATGAATTATGTTAAAAAAAATATTCACAGTCCCTAACTTGATCAATTATTATTTTTGATGATTACTAATATACAGTTAAGAGAAACAAAATTATATTAGTATTAAATTTTCAAGTTAAAGAAGCATGTAAAGTAAAATGAGAATGAAGAATATAATAAAAAAATGTAATAATATCTCTTATACATGATGTTTTATTATATTAAAAAAATAAAGAAAAAAAAGGTAAAAAATTGAATTAAAAAATACTAAAAATATGTAGGAGTTTTGTAGTTAAAAATTGATTTTGCCTAAAATAAAAGGGGAACGAAAAAGAAGGTGGCTCCAGGCGATGGGAAGGAAAGGAAGGTCCCCTAATCCGCGCGTGAAGAATCCCGAAAGGCACGCGCCCAAATGAAACAAACAGACACACACAAACGCTAATGTGTTCTTTTCTTAATCTTCCTTCCTTCGCATTCCGCACCAACGCACTCTGCGCTCTCCTCATACTCTTCCTCTTCCTTGCATGTTCTCGGAGCTCCGGCTCCAATAGCGGAGCCCCGGCTCAGTACAAAAACACCAAACTTCACTCTCTTCCCTTCCTTTTCCTTTTCGAGATCTCCAAACCAAAATGTCCAAACCCTGGGGCATCGGAGCCTGGGCCGCCGATTCCGAGCGGGCCGAGGCCGAGGAGCGCGAGGCCCAGGCGGCTGCTGCGGCCGCCGAGACCCAAAACTTCCCCAGCCTCAAGGAGGCCGTTAACTCCAAGCCCAAAAAGAAGAAAGGAACAACCATCACGCTTTCCGAGTTCAACCGAGGCGGTTTCGCCTCCGAGGGCCTAACGCGTGACGAGATGATGGCCCTCCCCACCGGCCCCAAGGAACGCACCGCCGATGAAATGCAGTTCAACCGCCTCGGCGGCGGTTTCTCCTCCTACGACCGCTCCGGCGCTCGCTCGCGCGACCGCGACCGCGACGGGGGCAACAACGAAGGTTCCTGGGGCGGGGGGAGAAGATCCTACGGCGGAGGATTCGACGAAGAACGCAGAGGTCCAAATCCTAGGGTTTCGGAACTCGATCAGCCGTCGCGGGCGGACGAGGTCGACAATTGGGCTTCGGTGAAGAAAACTCTCCCCTCGTTCGATTCAGGCCGCCAGAGTCGCTACGGTGGCGGAGGCGGTGGCGGTTTCGGCGGCGGTGGCGGTGGAGGAGGCTTCGGTGGTGGTGGTGGTTTTGGTGCCGCGTCTAGGGCTGATGGAGTGGATAATTGGGCGGTTGGTAAGAAGCCTGTTGCTGCTAGATCTTCAAATTTTGGTTCCGGTTTTCGTGATTCCGGCGTGGAGCCTGATCGGTGGGCGAGAGGTGGTCCACCGCGTGAGATTGAGCGGATGGAGCGGCCGAGGCTGGTGTTGGATCCGCCCAGAGGGGATGGTTCGGTGAATGATGCTCCGGCGAAGACGAATAAGGGGAATCCGTTCGGCGCGGCGCGGCCAAGGGAGGAGGTGTTGGCTGAGAAGGGGTTGGATTGGAAGAAGATGGATTCGGAGATTGATGCTAAGAAGACGAGCAGGCCCACGAGTTCGCACTCTAGCAGGCCTTCCAGTGCTCAGTCCAATCGTTCTGAGGGTCCCGGGCTGCAGGGGACCGATGCTGCGCCGAAATCACGGCCCAAGGTGAATCCCTTTGGGGATGCCAAGCCTAGGGAGGTTCTGCTGGGCGAGCGAGGCATGGATTGGCGGAAGATTGATCTTGAATTGGAGCATCGCTCTGTTGACAGGTTTTGTTTTGTTTCTTGGTCATTTGATTTTTTTTTTCTTCTTTGATCCGTTGTTTGAACTTGTATCTGTTGTCATGCTTGTAATGCTTGTCTTCCCTGATTTGCATGATTTATTCAATTGTTGCAACTTGCAAGTAATTACCATAAAAAGCTTTTGTCCCCATTATACAACAAGGTTACGAGGACCCTATATGTGCTTTTATGGTGGGTTGTTGTGGTGTGTTATTAATTTGATTTGTGGCAATATTTACAGATTAGGCAAATCAAATAGCATGATATATAGGTAAAATAATTAAGAGTCCACACTGGAATTGGATTACATCAATGGTATTTTTCGGACTGGTCAATAAATGGTTTGCAACTGCTTATTTAGAGTGTGAAATGCTTTTAGTACAGATTTTTTTTCGTGGTGTTTTATATAGTTCATGCAGTGTTTTATATAGTTCATTGCCTGTGTATTTCCCTTCAAATTTGGAAGTCCTCGTTTCAAGCAGGTTGTATTTTGGTGTAAGTTGACAATTGGATTGGGGGGGTTATATTGAACTGATTAGAGGTTTTTTTTTTTCTTTTCACTACACTAACATTTTATTGGGAGTTAGAGATTAGCGAGAAGATCATCATTTTTGATGGTTTCATTTTGTCCTGGGGGGATAGTTACTTGGAAGATTAAGAGCACTTATTAGCATAATGAATGGTTTCTATATAATATATTTTATAATTGTAGATCAAAAGCTATCTGTGGATATAGTCATTATGAAAAAAAGGGTTATCGTGTAATAAATTGATATGATAAGAAGGCTTCCAGTTATTGGCTATTAAGCACTAGTGGTATTAAAATCTTTCTGCATCACGATTCTGTTCACTTACTAGATGGAAACTTTTGGGGCTTCAATCAATTATTTTACTATCTTTTTCTTGTATTCAGTTTTTTGTGAAAAAGTTGCTAGTTTTTTCAATTTTTCACTTAGCATGAATTGTGCAAAGATGGGGTTTATCTGGTCAATGATTCTTATTACCCCGAGCTTTAAGATGTTGGGAATGGTAATTTGTAATAGGATAACTGTGTTCGTGTAACTGAATGAAGGGGAGTATTGTTATTAACTATCAAGTCCTTATCTAGTTCTATTAGAGTGATGACTGATATTTTTTATCAAGAACTTCTGACCTAGTTGGTCTGTAAACTGTCTTTCAAAATTAAACTTTTATGTGGACTGGCTCGTTGGAGAGGTTGTCAATGCTCAATACTGTTCTAGTTAGCACTTGGCAGATAGGTTATATATTCTGGTGAAACATACTAAAATTAATTCTTACCACATTACCACGTGCATTTAGGTGGGTTGGGTCTTTAGCCAACAATATTAAAGTTGATAACATAACATTAAAACAAGTTTTTCAGAGTTGAATTCAAAATGCTTATCATGTTATTTTTTCCCTTTTGAATTTAACTAGAGCATAAATCTAAATATTGAGGGAATCCAAATGGCTTCACTTTGTTTAATTTAATCAACACAAGTACAAAACCTACAGCACAATGGCTTCCAATTTATGGGTGGGCCGTAATCGATGTGTCTGGTTTTACTTGTTGAAAGGTGTTACTTTGATTTATTTTCACACCCATGCTGTAATGTAATATCTAACTTTTGGTTGGAGCATGGCTCCCCAACAGTGGATGATCGCAAGGGATGGGGATTGGGAAAATTCTTGGTTGGGTGTTAGACTGTTCTGTTGGTCTTAAGATAGAAGAGCAGCAAATGGCCAATACAGAAGAAGAAACCTAGAATTGTATTCTAACTGAGCCTTATGTCTCAAATTTATGTACACCTTAGAAAGGGGGTAGCGAACAAAGATAGAATGGCGAATGATCTTTGCAGCATAGTGGAGGAGGACATTGTTATGCAAGAGGAAAGGTGGCAGTGACGGACTGGACACTTGGTAGTAGGGGATTGGTTAAAGGATGTTACAATCATGGAAGGGAACATGCATATGAAGGAAATGGAGGTGGTTTTGGGGCTATCAGATCATTTCAATAATTTGAGGTGGCTGTAACTGTTAGGCAGGGATGGCATTTTGCTTCTTTGATTATCGCCTTGTTTCTTCATCGACAATTCCCATGGTGGATGCACCAGAAAAATCATATGCGGAACCCATGTCAAAGTTATGCTGGGGCTAATGTATGATCTTTATGCTGGCATACCTCTTACCTGGTAAACTCTGGGGTTTATTCCTAGTGAATTCTAGGTCACCCACGGGAGTTATACCTAGTCCTATCTTCTATATTTCGTGTTTTCGTCGCGTGTTAGGGGCTAAAGAATGATGCAAGTTGTTGATTAGCAAGATCTGTTTTTTAAACAGAATTAAGTTGAAAATATATGTTTGTTAGTGTTAGAATATAGGGGCATCAAGTCCTAGTGCTGGTTGGGGTCAACTTTGGGCCAGAGATTATTTTCCTATGACTATAGGACTGCACTAAGGTTCAATGTTTACCATACTTATTGGTATAAATATTGTATCACACTCATTTTTGGTTGGTTAATACTATTACCTTTTTTTTCAGTCATATTCTTCTAAATCTTAACCTATAATTCCAACATGGTGTTAGAGATGTATCATCCTTCTTGATAAGGAATGTGCTTTTGGCTTTGTTGAGCTCCTCAGAATTGTGTTTTCTGATCTATCTGTGTTTTTGTTCAAGTCTATAATCATCCTGGTTGTGACCTAAGGTCGTGTTCTGAACACGGCAGAATCTCTCTTGGCTGGTGTTCAGCTGTTCAGGTGACCCAAGGGTGGTTGCGGGAGTTTGCATGTCACTTTTGGTCAGCCTGCATGAGATGTCCTGCTGGCTATGGTTTACTGGCTATTTTTCAGGGTGCACGCTAGTTTTAATGCACTCTGTTATTGAACTCTGACTTGTGAGTTCTGTTTCAGTCTTTTTTTAAGGTTGCAAGGAGCTAGAGGCACACAATGTTAGGGTAGCGCTGGTACTGGTTGACAGGCAGTAGTTTGCCTTCTCCAGCGTGTTTTCTTCTGACATTGTTTCAAACTGTGTTTTATTCCTGTTTTATGTTTTGGATTCAGCATCATTCACCTCTGTTCTGCTTATGGGTGGCATATCTCTCTTTCTAGCTGTTGTTCGTTGTTTGTGATTAGATTTGCCTTGTTTTCTATTTCCTTTATCAGTTTGGCTCAATTTATCTCTCTGTATGGTGTGTTTGATTGTTACATGTCTGTGATTGGCATGCTTGGTTGCTGTTGTGTTGCCAGCTCTTTTTGGTGTCTGGTGACTGTTATGCATTGGCATAACTTGTTTGATTTTGGACTGATGCTCTTTGGGGCTTGGGTTTTTTTTTTTTTTTTTTGTGGATTATTTTTCCTGGAGATTGGAGCTTACTGTTTTTCTGCTATCAACAATTTGGGTTTCTGGGTGGTCTGAAACTGATCCATTGTTTAGATATCAGTTTGGATGGCAAGGGGACCCTTAAGGAGAAAGGTCAAAGGTTTCTAGCAGCTGTCTACCTAGCATTTTGTCAATATTTTTATATTCAGTGGAAGTACTACTAAGCCTAAATTCTTTAGTTGAGACTTGAGATGGGCTGTGTTATTTGTCTTATGCCTAGGGTTTGCTATTTGGGACAAACTTAAGTGCTTAAGCTTGAGGGAGAGACTAGAGTGTTAAGAGTATTAGGATTATTAAGTTTCAGTGTTATCTGCCTTGGGTTTGTAGTAGTTGTACCAGTACTAGACATAATTTTTTAGTATAAGTAGAAGTATTTGTGTTATTGTTATGCAGCTATCTATCAATTTCAGTATATTGTTAGTTATCTTTCTCTTTTATTCTTTCTTACCTAAACCTTATAATTCCAACAGGTGATTGCTAATAGTTTAATCATTGTTCTATATCTTCTAATAGTTTGGTATTAATCAGGAATTGCTGTATTAAATCTCGATCCTCTTGTTTATTTTATTCACCTTTCTGGCTTATGCCAAAAATTGCTGTGTAATTTTGTGTAACTAATTAGGCCATGCTTTACTTTGAATTGTTGGTCTTTCAAATATCCAAGTTACCTTGTTGACTCCTGAAGTAACATTTTAGGCCTGAGACAATGGAGGAAAAATTATTAAAAGAAGAAATTGATAATTTGAAGAAGGAACTTGAGAAAGAATCCGCAATAAATTCAAACAAGGAATTTGCAGATGAGGCTGGTGGAGACCAAACCAGTACACATGCAATATTACAACAGAAAGAAAAGGAGCTGGAACAACTTATCCGTGATTTGGATGACAAAGTTCGTTTCGGGCAGAAAGCCGTTCAACAGCAGGAAAATCTTCTGCTCCTTCTGATAGGCCACCTTCCAGATCTGGCTCATTTGAGGATTCTAGAAGTGTGGATTTTACAGACAGACCTCGATCTCGTGGTACAGGAGATATGTGGATGCGTCCTAGTGATGACAGAAGACAGTTTCAAGGTAGCAGGGAAAGGGGATGGTTTTCTGGTAGCAGAGACTCGAATAGGTGAGATATACACAATTCTGTATTTGCAGTATCATCTTTCAATTTTATTCACCCTTCCAGTCTTGCCACTTCTAGTAAAAGTTTGCTTGCTTTGACTAATGTATTATTCATACATTATTTATAGCAACTGGTTAAGATACAGAATTGACAGTGGCTTTGAATTCAATTTTGTTTCTTCTCTTGTATTATTTGACATATATTGCTTTTACATTTTGGGAAGACGTTTAGAATACTGATATTTGTTGTCTTACAGGTCAAATTCAAGAGAGAGATGGTGAACAGCAGTTTTGTGTGGATTAAGAGTTATCTTCAACTTTTGATGACCAGAACCTAATACTATTTTATTACTTGTCTTTTCTAATCGTTTTGTTCATTTTACTCCAGGCAATTGGAGCAACAATCATTGAGTACTGGCACTAAAACTTTTGCCTAATCTATTATTGCATCTCGAAACATTGTAAATTTGTTTTTCCCTTCTGGTAATTTTTTGGGTGTCTGGACGAAGGCAGAGAGCCTGTAATTTTATTAGGACTAAATTCTTATTGAGGATTATGGAACTTGCTAGTTAATGTCAATGTGATATTGTTCTGATATAAAATTATTTTCCTTCAATTTTGCATCTGCACAGCACAGTATCGGTCAATTTAATGCTTTAACAGTAGTAGTTTAGCCTCTTTCCTCTATCTGTGGAGGCTGAGGTTGGTGACGGTGGAAATTTTAGTGTCGTTATTCACTTGAAAATTCATGTCCTCCCAGTATTTTTGTATTATCCATTGCCATCCTTAATACAGGAAGTTACTTCCAAAATTTTATCACTGGATAAAAAATCCCTAAAAGTAAAGTTCTCTATGCCACTGGAGCTTAAGTTAATTGTGCTTCGATGTTCTTATGTCCGGAATCTGATATCACCAACCTTAGGAATAAGTTTGAAATACATCAGTCATATCCAGTTATAGTGACGTCTAGGGTTGCGTTTACATATTTTGTAAACTGGTTTCGCAACATTGTTTAATTGGTTAGTTTTAAATTTAAATATGCATTTTCATACCTGCGTGAAAAGTTGAGGTGGTCAAAAATCGATGCTTAATGTGGTTCGGCCCGCATGATGATTTTTAAATTCTAACGGTCTCTAAAGTTGGTATTTTCTCCTTTTATATTTAAAGAAAAGACGTATGGAACCCTCTAAAATGTTGAATTCTACAAAGAGGTTTTCTGAAAATTTGTTGCCCTCTCTATTTTTTTCTTAATACAAATGGTATGTTTGATTTATGAAAGAAAGTGGAAGCCTGGAAGGAAGGAAAGTGAGTCGATTTTTTAGATTATTTGGTAAAGATGAAAATAAAAAGAAAGGTTAAAATATTATCATATTTTTAATTCATATACTTTAAAATAGATTTTTATTTGTTTATACTTATTTTTTTTCAATTCTTTTTACCTATTTAGTCTTTATATTTGTAGGTTTTTAATCTTTTTAGTATTTCTTGTTGTTTTTTTATGTAATGTTCTTTTTATATTGATGTGATAAATATATTAATTTAATTTTATATATTTGATATTAAATTTATTTTGTTAAAATTATTTTAAATTAAATTTTTTAATATTTTGTGTCTCTTTTGTACTCTTATCTATGATGTCTATTGTAAAATAATTTTTTTTTCATTCATCCAAAAATAAAGATCTCTATCGTATTAACACAGAACAGAGAACATTTAAAAAAAAATACATATTAAAAGAATTAAAAAATTATAAGTATAAGAATTAAATATCTAAAGCAGAAAAAGTAAATATTTAACTTTAAATTATAGAGGAAAAAAGAAATGTAAAATAATTAAAATTATAATGACTTATAAATGTATTTTAAGGAAGAAAGTATTTGTTGACTTGTTTCATTTGATTGTGTAGAAGTTAATTATAAAAAGTTTACAAAATTGGAGTTGACTACTTTTTTTAATAACCTCGTGTTTGATTATTGTTTAAAAAAATGTAATGAAGCGTGCATATGACGCAAATGACAGATGACTGATGACTGATGAGAAACGAGAAATGTGAGCATGAAATGAAAGTTATGGAAGGCGCAATGGCAGAGAAATGGATAGAAATAGTGATATGGGTTGTAATTTCAACGTCATTAATGCGAAATGGAAGTGGAACTAAAGAGTGCAGTTTCCCAGCCATTTTCAACTTGGGAGATTCCAACTCTGATACAGGCGGTATCTCAGCAGCGTTCGGGCAAGCACCTCCCCCCAACGGAATCACTTTTTTCCACTCTCCTCACGGACGCTTCTCCGATGGTCGTCTCATTATCGATTTTTTAGGTAAATCCATTCTCTCTCTCTCCAATTCTGCCTTCAACTCTTATCAAAATTCCTCTGTTTCAACAGCCAATACCTTCGACTTGCCTTTTCTCAGTGCTTACTTGGACTCCGTGGGCTCTAACTTCACTCACGGTGCCAATTTCGCAACCGCCGGCTCCACCGTAAGACCTCAGAACACAACTAGGTCTCAGAGCGGATACAGTCCCATTTCCCTAGATGTTCAGTTTCAGCAGTTCTCTGATTTCAAAACCAGATCCAATCTCCTTCGCAAGCAAGGTACACTCACTACTCATCATATCCTGCATATTTAATTGCAAGTTATAAATCTTATCAACTTAGATTAATGCTAGTTTTTATTAGTCAAAACTCAAAAGGTTAATTGGTTGGAGATTGTTCTAGTTTCTTTCAGTTTGCACCACATGTATGATTTAGTATAAATCTTATTCGAGTTATGGATGCCAAACCGTGTACCACTGTTTAAGTTAAACAACTCTTTACTAATTGATTGATTGAAGTTGTTTTAATGTAATCACGAATTTTGAGCTCAATCCCGAATATATGACTGTATTAAAAGGAGAGCTTTGTTGCATTACTTATTATCAAGTGATTTTTAATACTTTGTTTTTTTAGCATTTTTTTTGTTTGTTAAAATTAATGCTGAGTCTCACTAATTTAAAAATAAAACATACATATTTAATGAGATTCAGGTAAATGTCATCTAATGAGAAAAAAATTGTCTAAAAGACTGTTTAGCGCTGTGTTACTATAATTTTCCTAATAACAATAATGTCTCCTTTGAAAGGCTTAAATTTGATTTCTACTCCTTGTAATGGAGTAGCCTCTCCTTAGCTTTATTCAACTAGAAAGAGAATATTAGTTGGTTTATCGATTAAAATAGGTGGCTACATGATATATTATTTTAATGTGGTACAGGAGGGGTGTTTAAGGAATTATTGCCCAAGAAGGAGTATTTTTCTCAGGCTCTATATACCTTTGATATTGGCCAAAATGATCTCACTGCTGGCTACAAACTCAACTTAACCACAGAACAAGTCAAAGCATATATACCTGATGTATTGGGCCAGTTCTCCGATGTCATAAAGGTAACTCATTATTCATCTAATCCTAAGCTTTGATAATTTGATGTGGTGCATGAAATTTATTGAACCATGGTGTTGTCATCATGTGAAGTAGGGTGTGTATGGGAAAGGTGGAAGGTCGTTTTGGATACACAACACAGGCCCATTGGGATGCCTGCCATACATGCTGGACCGCTATCCCATGGAACCAGCCCAAATGGATGAGTTTGGGTGTGCCAAACCATTCAACGAGGTGGCCCAATATTTTAATTACAAACTGAAAGAAGCTGTTGAGCAACTAAGGGAGGAATTGCCAGAGGCTGCAATCACCTATGTTGACGTGTATACAGTGAAGTACACCCTCATCAGCGATGCCCAAAAATACGGTAAGGGTTTTGAATTTTTCTTTTGCTGTTGTTGCCTATGAAAATGTAATTAAATAATATACGATGTTTGCAATGGAAAGGTTTTGAGCATGGTGTGATAGCATGCTGTGGACACGGTGGAATATACAACTTCGATAACAAAGCGAGATGTGGAGCAACCAAAAGGGTGAATGGGAAAGAGATTGTGATAGCCAAATCGTGCAAAGATCCAAGTGTGAGGATTATTTGGGACGGAATCCATTACACCGAAGCTGCGAATAATTGGATCTTCCAACAAATAGTCAATGGCTCCTTCTCATATCCACCTTCCCCTTTAAAAATGGCTTGTTATGGTCATTCATTCATCCATCCCCAGTGATCAATCAATCCATTAGGAGATATAAATTCACGTTCTTGTAAGAGTGAATTTTGATCCCTGAGCTTAACAGGTTTTATAAAGTGTTTACCGAATTATGTTGACAAATCTTATTGTTATCATTGATATATATTTTTATGAGAGTTTATTATTATTATTATTTTTATTATTTATGGGAATCAAATTTGATATTAAAGAGTTTATAATATTCACATACACTATTTAATAATGAGTTAGACTCTATTGATAAACAGTTAACTATGACAATTGTATGTTAAACAGGTGGGTATTGTCTAGTTATTTTATTTTATTTTATATATAACTATGATTTTTAAAATTTATTTAATATTGAGTGTATTATGCTTAGCTTGAAATATAAGAAATGATAATTATTTTAAAATAAAATTATTTTAAGTTTCAATTAAATATGTAGTGTGTGTGTTTAACTATAAAATGAAACTTATACAAAATAGTAAGTAGTTACATAAAAACATGTATGTGTCTGTTTAGCTTTAAAATGAAACTTGTACAAAATAATAAGTAGTTACATAAAAAATTATCTCATACTTCATTTAAAAAAAAGTAAATTAAATTGATATTTATTAAAGTTTTGTCAGCTTACACACATATCTTTTTGCTTTTTAAAGGTTAGCATTAACCTCCCTTATAGGAACATAATATGAATGTCTAAAAATATTTTAAACAAATAAGAAAAGTCAGTATAAGAGTAAAAAAAAAGTATTTATATGCAATTTCATGAAAAATTAAAGGTAAAATAGTTTTATATGGTTAATTAATTAAATAATATTGTTGATATAAATCTTTACATATTTATTATAAAGGTCAAAAAATTAATATAAATAAGCTTGCAATTAGATGATTATGAAAAACTATTTTACACTTTCACTTATTTTTGAATAAACACTTAATTTAGTTTCAGGTAGAGATGATTAATTGGTCCTTAAAAGATTTTTTTTGTGACATTTGAATTCCTAAATTTTAATTTCATTATGTAAGTTAATATTTTAGTTATACTTAATTACTAATCCGATAGTCTTATAATCAATCAACATATAATTGTTATGTTGACACATATTCTTTCACCTAGTTGACATACTATAATTATAAATTAAATAGATTTAGAGACATGACACAATAAGATTTAATTTTTAATTTAATTTAAAAATAACCGAAGTGACATTTTAATGACTTGTTTTTTTCTCGCGCACTCTCATTATCATTTTTTTTGTGCGAATCCCTGGCCTTGTTTAAGTGTGGATCAACCCCTACTACTGAATCACACGCTTGGGGTTCGCACTCTCATTATCATTGACTTCTCCACTTGTACGCAATTTATTAAATATAACAAAAACATTCATATTCAATTGATGTATCTTATTTGAGATCTTTCACAACAACCACTCATTTTGTTAAACCTCAAATTTAATAATTTTAGGATTAATAATCCTAAACCTATAGTAGTCAAACACATACGAAAAAATTAAAGATGACAAATACAAAAAAAATCTAACCGTAAATATTTTTATGAAATTCAACAATAAACTTCTATTTTAATTAGAGCACTTAGGACCATAATATTTAAACATGATAAAATTTTCATTAATGTTTAAAAAATATCAAAACTTTATATTATGATCCATATTAAGTGATTAAAAAAAAAAGAATTAATTAAAAGAAAAGAAAATGTTAACTTGTCATTTAATTATTGATTATTCAAGAAACTAACTAAATTAATAATTGAATATAATAAAAAAATTAATTTAAATAATAAAATTAAACTTTAAAGGCTCAAATAATTAAAAAAAAATCTTTTAAAAACCTATCCACTCTACCATGTTTTATACAGGGAATTCGATATTCACACCCTATTTTCTCGGGGAAATTTACTCTGAGGAATCATTAGTCTAATGGACTAATTGATGTACATCTCCTTAAAAATTTTGTATCAGAAAAAAGAAAATAAAAATAAAAATAATAGAGGAATGATAAAATGAATGGGATTTGTCTTACTCTTATCTCCGTCTCTGTGTCTCCGCACTTGTTGCAACGATCTGTACTGCCACGGCACGGCACAATAACTGTAGACAGTAGTAGCGTTTGTGGTTGGTTCGAAACTCGTGTGTAGATAACGCTAACGCTAACCAAATGCTTGTCTGTGCAGTTCTCACTCACACTCCTCCGCACAAACTCACTCTCTGCCTCTCCAATCCCAAACCCATCCGATTTTCCTCAAATTCCGTGACCCTCCCCCACACCACCGCCCCCTCCTGCTTCCTCCAAACCCTCAACGCCACCCCTACCTCCGACTCCGATGACGGCCTCCGCCTCACCGTCTCTTCCGCCGCCGCACTCGCCTCCTCCATCCGCCAAGCTTCCAACTCCTCCGTCGAGTTCACCCAGCGCCTCGAGAAGGACCGCCAGAGCGGACTCGTGCTTCCCAGCACCGACTTCCACCGCCTCTGCCTCCACCAGCTCCACCTCTTGCGCAGGATCGTTCCCCAAGCCCTCCTCTCGGTTGGTGCTCCTTTCGTTTTTTAAATTAGCTGCGTGGTTAGGTTCAATTATAACTCTAACAACCTTTAATCCGCTTCCTTAAATTACTGTATGTTAGAATTCATGGTTCAGAGTAGAGAAAATAGATAAAGACTGAAAATGCAATGTATTGAAAATAATACTCTCAACTCCTTTATATTGGCAACAAAACTAATAATACTTAATACTGTTGGGGCGCAAGCAAAGTCCCACATCATTCAAATAAGAGGATGAATATGGATTTATATACACATGACTATCTTCATTGGTCCAAATGGTATCAGAGTCAATGGTCTGATCAGGTGACTGGCTTGAGCTTTCCTTGGAAAAGGGGTAGAACCATGGTCCATGTGTATTTATGTGGTAATTCCTAGTACACAACAAATAGTATCAAAGCCGATGGTCTGATCAGGTGACCGTTTTTGGGTCATGATTTTGGGTGATATCCAAATATGCATAAGTTAAAAATAAGATTTTGGAGAAGCTAGCAGGAGAGAGCTTCTACAAATTAATTCATGCATAAGCCAATTTTAGCTTATGGAGAAACTTATTTTTATTTTTCCTTCTTATTTTTTTTCTCCGAGAAGTACTTCTTGAGGACAAATGCGGCTGATGCAACTGCAATTGTGGTTGCTGAGATACCATTAACCTTGGTGTTGTGGCCAAAATTGAGGTTGCTGAGTGTTTTTGAAAACCTTGTTGGCTTTCCATCAATTTGGTTCAAATTTTTCTTTGACTTTGTCAAGTTTAAGTCAATTTGCTTCTTCGTGGAAGTGCACATTAGTCAATTGGGTCCATTATCGTCTGGTACCAAATTTATGTCACCAAAGTAACCAAATTGAATAACAGATGTTGAGGACTATGTGTGTGTTTGTTTTATCATTTAAACCTTCATTCCTCACATTCCTAGAAATAAAATGTGACTGAAGAAATTTGATGGATTGACGCCCAACTGAGATTGAACGTGTATACAAACACACCTTAAATTGATTAATTTGGTAATGTTAGGAACCAGCTTGACTAAAGATCCAATTTTAGGGATCAAATTGATTGAAGGACAGTTACTAAGGAAAGGACTGAATTTACTATTTTTTTGTAATATTCATGACCATGTTAGCTATTATTGACAAATTTAGAAACTAAATTGATGTTTTACTCATTTAAGGGATTGAATTGACATTTCTAAGTAAGGATTAAAATGCTAGTTTGCTTAAATTTGAACCGAGTGATGTTTGTTAAGTAGCTATGTTGTTTGTGTTGTTCAGGTGTATGTTAGACCAGCCGGTAGTTATGTGATGGACCGATTGGAACTGAGGCGGGTTGCCCTGTACCCTGGAGATGCAGAATCAGAGGCAGAGGGCATTGTCATTCTTGTGGGCCATTTTAATATTCCTGCAGGCTTGCGTGCTGCTGAGGCAACGCTTTCCAATATGCAAGTGTGTTGATTTTCTTGTGCTCACAGTGTGCTTCTTCTTTTGTTGCACTGTGCTTGATTATTCTTGTTGGGTAAATGTTAATTGTAGGTTAATGTTGTCCCTGAATGTAAGGCTGTGGTTCTTCCGATGGTGAAGCACCCATTTGTTGTTGGTTTCTTGGTTGCCGAGCTTCCATTGGTGGAGCCGGAACAGTGTCAGAAACCTCAAAGTGATGGGCCAGATAACCACATGTCTGTTGAGGAACCTTATTCTTTGCCTCCCTTTATGGATTTAGACAAGAAGTCGAGGGAAATTCAGACTCTTCCCATCAAGGATGAAGCAGTTGATATGCATAACTTCACTTCTGAGCAAAGATCAAATGCTGTCAACATTTCACAGTCTCTAGCCATGGCATATGTCATGGATCAGGTTAATATACTGCATCTTTTTTGAAAAACCATGACATTAACTCCAACTAATCAAATATGAAATGCTAGAAAGTTTGAATCTGCTCAAATTTTGTGGGAGTTGCCTTCAAATTTGCATTGCATAACATTTGCTACTTAAATGTGTGCTTTGAAAGTTGGTGCGTTCAAGTTCAAAACTATTTTATTTATCATTTGAAATTTTGAGCAAGACTAGCTGGTTTTTTAGCACGCAATGCAAGTCTTTTAATTTATTTCTCTCTAACTTTGCTGTATGGTTTCGTGATTAGGTTATAAAAATAGCTTTGACACTTTGTATGGGCCGAAATTTCTAGCTCATGATTATGCTTCTTTTACAGAAAGCAATGTTACTTCAGCAATCAACATGGCAAAATAATGTCAGGATGGGCAATTTGGTTGAGCAAGTACGAGTTATTGATTGTTATTGCATTCCTTTAATCTATCATTTTCATCATGTTCTAATTTTTCGTTTTTTTTTTAAATTTATACAGATCCGTGGTCCACTTTCAAGTATTCAAACCTTGAGTAAAATCCTGTCTACGCAGACAAAGAGAACCCAGGTTTGAAAATTGTCTAAATTGTACTTAATTAAATGTAAATTTGCATACACTTGCATTTCTGTACTTGGGGAGCCCAATAGCTGGGTTGGACCAGGTCCAAGCTGACTCAATTTTGGGCCAACGGTATGGGTCAGGCCATATGAGACATATGATCCAACCCCATGGATAAAACCCTGGTCTGGTTGGGGGACATGAATTTTTTTGTGTGGCAGGGGCTGTGAATGTGTACTATGATAGTTATTTTATTGTAATGATAAAAACTGTCATTATCAGTCAATTGTAAATCACTTTTTTTTTCTTTCTTAAAACTAACTATATATTCATGTTAGTTTTACAAAGAACCGTTTAATTATACTAGGTCAGCCCATGAGTTGAAATGATACATGATCATGTCTAGTCTGTGACACTATAAGTGCATGCATTAAATTACTTTTTATGTGGATTTAATATTCTGAAAAGCCTTTGTTTGATAATGCACTTTATGTGCAGTGAATCTGCTAACTTCAGTGAATTGGAGATTTGGGCTATTTTCCGAAAGCCTATTTTCCGAACTGGGATTCAAATCGTATCAAGATTCATGATCGATAAAAAAAAGAAGATAGAATATACAATTAACAGACACTTTAAAACACATTCATGATTAATAACTAAAAAATATAAGTATAGGAGCATGAGATGCATGAGTTCTTTTAAAATTTGTTAGAATAGAATAAAATTAAAAATTATGATAAGAGGAGGGATCCGTTTACTTCAGGAGTAAGTCTACCTAGACTTACTCCGTTCAATAACTCATGTTTTATATCAAATTTCAACGATCCAACTGTTGAATTTGAAATTCCTAATGTATAGATCAAATCTGCAAATTTTTAGAAAATTTGAAAATTATTTGATATTTCTATTAGAATTATTTTATGCGGGTACGTAGACCTACTAACAACTTTCGGGGTACCTCCGGATACAAGGAGAATCATGGTTCGATACCTCCTCGTGGAGGCCAACACCTCCTATAACATCATTATCGGGAGGCCAACCTTGAATCAGCTCGGAGCAGTGGTATCCACTCCACACCTCACCATGAAGTTCCTAGGGAATGACGGTAAGATCATCTCCGTCAAAGCAAATCAGAAGATAGCTCGGCAGTGTTACGCCGAGAGTCTGAAGATCTCCTCGACCGGCAAGCAAAGCAAGGGGGGTCCCCCTACTGTAACTCCTTAAGTTCCATTTCTCTTTTCTGTATGAACGAAATTGTGCACTCTTTTCCCGCCTCAGTCCTTGACTGAGAGGGTTTTTAACGAGGCACACAAAAATGATCAATAAAATCACCCATTTTGCTCAATCCACATTCTTATTTATTGGTTTTATAAAGGACGAAATCGAACCAACCTCTTTCACTCTCACTGAGGTCGAATTCGAACCTCAGGGTTGGGGGACATGAATTTTTTTGTGTGGCAGGGGCTGTGAATGTGTACTATGATAGTTATTTTATTGTAATGATAAAAACTGTCATTATCAGTCAATTGTAAATCACTTTTTTTTTCTTTCTTAAAACTAACTATATATTCATGTTAGTTTTACAAAGAACCGTTTAATTATACTAGGTCAGCCCATGAGTTGAAATGATACATGATCATGTCTAGTCTGTGACACTATAAGTGCATGCATTAAATTACTTTTTATGTGGATTTAATATTCTGAAAAGCCTTTGTTTGATAATGCACTTTATGTGCAGTGAATCTGCTAACTTCAGTGAATTGGAGATTTGGGCTATTTTCCGAAAGCCTATTTTCCGAACTGGGATTCAAATCGTATCAAGATTCATGATCGATAAAAAAAAGAAGATAGAATATACAATTAACAGACACTTTAAAACACATTCATGATTAATAACTAAAAAATATAAGTATAGGAGCATGAGATGCATGAGTTCTTTTAAAATTTGTTAGAATAGAATAAAATTAAAAATTATGATAAGAGGAGGGATCCGTTTACTTCAGGAGTAAGTCTACCTAGACTTACTCCGTTCAATAACTCATGTTTTATATCAAATTTCAACGATCCAACTGTTGAATTTGAAATTCCTAATGTATAGATCAAATCTGCAAATTTTTAGAAAATTTGAAAATTATTTGATATTTCTATTAGAATTATTTTATATTAAAATTTATAATAAATATTTTTCTATTAGATTTATTATGTATTAATTATAAATATTCTGCTATTAGATTTATTATATAGTAATTATAAATGTTCTTATATTTATAATAAAAAGATATTAAACAGTAATTGAAATATAAACACTTATCACATCAATTAAATATTCTTTATTTGATACTAAACAAAACTTGAATATCAAGTTAAAAGTTAAAACTGAGGGCTCAAATGTGATACAACTGTCTGAAACACAGGTTCCTGAAGTTAAAAAAGCATAAAAGAGAGAAAAGTGGGGTGAGGTAGTCATATAAAAGGTCAGTAACGAGAAAGAGTAGTTTTAAGGATAAAATTGGAAATAAAACGTGTACGCAAAAAATGTTTATCGCCTTTATTATAGTTACTAGTGTAAAAGAGGTACTCTGAGCTTCTATATTTTATAAAAATTAAAAATAATAAAAAGATAGAAACAATAGAGCAGGTGATTAGAAGTGAGAGAGGTTTGGAGAAGGAAATGTATATATAGGTATAGATTATTTATATTTATTATTTAATTATTATAGTAATATAGTTATAGATTATAGATTATGTCTCATGGTTGTTGGATATCAAGAATGTCTTGTAATTGGTAACATCACAGATTTCATATGACATTGTTGAAGACCTCTTGGTGCAAGGTGATCGACTGAGGGATGTTTTCCAACAACTCCAGGATGCCGTTTATTTGACGAAGGTACTTCTTCTTCTTGTACTTATAAGTTATAATCAATTAATCATGCATAGATGCAAATACTTTTCATATACAAATAATCAATTAATGACTTGATGTTCATTGTATGTTGGAAAATCTTGAATTTTTATCACTTATTGTCTCTTCCTCTATATAGTTGTTGCATGCAAAAATACACTTATGGGTAATGGGTGAGTGTGCCCTGTCACAAAAATAATAAAGATATTTCTAAGTGTCATATTCAAGGGATTAATTCACGAAAACTGGATTCTCTGAAACCTTTTGCTAAAACTATCAAAAAGAGATGATTGCAAGGGAGTTAAAAGAGAACGAGGGTCAGGAACTAAATTCCCAAAGCACATAAAGAGTTCAGTTATAAAATTCCCCATGGCTTAAGCCTCACTCGCACCCAATTGTAGGATTTCCAGTTTTTCTATAGTTATGTGTGATTGATTTCACAGAAGAACAACGAAGGGAATTCATATTGTGTGATTTGTTAAGACATTTGATTCAATATGTAATTTTATTTTAGGCTCAAGAGAGGCCCAGTTAGGGTGCATCAAACCTTATTGTGTATAGGTTCAAGTTTGTAAAATCCATTTTAAAGAAACAGTTGGTTTGATTTTTATCCAATAGGTTTCCATTTTCATTGTAACATACAGTTTGGTTCATGATGGTTCTTTTGCCCACTCCTAGCCATGCTAAAGTTTCAGCCGCTGAAAATCAAGCCTAGAGGGTCTATTTTCCCACATTTTTGGACAGGTCACCAATACCTTCAATCCTGTGAAAAAAATATGGGAAATTGGGTAAAACCAATGCAGAATATGCAATAAGACATTAAAATCCACACAATCAATGGTGTACTTTGTTATATCTTAATCTTTTGCTTTATTGGATTTTCCACAACAAATGTAAACATAATTTATTGGTTGATTGATTATCAAAAAAATTGTTGCAACATGGTGAATCACTAGTAATGGCACTTGTTATTGTATATGCCTATATGGTGAAGGGGAAATTTCTGGTTTGAATTGCAGGCAAACCAGATATAGGTCCCTCCCAAAGAGGCAGATATGGAAATGATATAAAGCTAATTGAATTCTCTCGAGTCTTAATCATATAAAGCTAGATTTCTGTGTATGTTAGTCAGAAGTCTCTTGCTTGGCTGAATATAAAATTCTGCAATTTATAGTTGAACCAATATCTTTTATAATTTTTTTCTGAATAAACAAAATTGTATTCCAATACAATGACAAACGAAGGGATATTTCCAAGAGTGTTACTTGTCCAGAATATCTGATGCAAAAATATTGACACACATACTGTTGTATATGCCTTTTAGTGTCTACCACCAGCATTGTAATTTTTTAATTTTGGCATTTTCTCACCGCTCTTGAAGAGGCTTCTTTTTTAAATATATATTTTAAAAAATTATATTTGCTTGAACAAAGTTTGTGCTGACCAGATAAGCAAAATAGGCAAGCAAACACTTAAAGAAATCAGTGCCTCTGATGTTCATTTTTATGCAATATGTAGACTAATATAGTCCGCTACAATGAAGAAGCTATCAAGAAAATGAATGGTTCTACTCACATACTTGCTGAATCAGCAAGATCTCAATTATTGGATAACTCTCCAGGGGATGGCTCTGCAAACAAAATGAAAAAATCTAGCGAGTCTCTTTCTCTAAGTGCTGCTGTCCAGGATATAGAGATGCCGTTACCACCTTTGGCTCTTGCTCCATTGCAACATGGAATCAGGTAGGTCTCATTGGTTGATTAATGCTTATGCTTCTCTTCATAGTGTCATGATTCACCTGCATTTTCTCTTGATTGTGATATCCCACTCAAAACCTAGATAAACTCCTAACTTGGCACTTTTTGTTGCATCAATAATATCTTATATATTTAATTTCTTTCATTAGACGTGCTTTTGGCTTTTAGATATTTATTTTTCTTTCAACTATTGAAATTTTTTCTGCATTTATTTTGCTTATGCTTTTTATTAATGTTAGGAAGACCATGCAATGTTTCTGAAGTATTGGCAGACCTGGTTGATTCTGTGAGGCCTCTTGCACAGAGTCAAAAACGTGTAGTAGAACTAAGTGAACTCTCATCACCTTTGCTAGCTGCTGTAGAGGAACCTGCGTTGCGCCAGGCTTTCAGCAATCTTATTGAAGGTGCTTTACTACGCACACATGTTGGAGGAAAGGTTGAAATTGTATCTACTACTGCACCCGCTGGTGGTACCCTTGTACTTATTGATGATGATGGACCTGATATGCACTATATGGTAATTTCAATCCACTCCCACTCATTGCTATGCTTACTCACTTTTCTTTTGAACAAGCTGGAAATTGTTTTATGCCTGTGAGGGAATGAGTGCTTAGTTTTTTTAGGGTGAACTAGGGCATTCCTCTGTCAAAAGTTAAGGATTTAACTCCTAAGATATTGAGATTCATTTTAAGGATTAACTTCTCCTTACATACACAGATTTGAAAATCGAATTCTTGACCATATGCTTAAGGAGCTTGAAATTAGAGCTTCAAGGATACTAATGTCAGAAAATATTGCAGCCTTTTCCCACGTATAATTTGCATGATTCACAGTAGCATCCCATGCAAGTCTACCATAATATTGTAGATATTGGAACACTTGCTTTGTGGTACACACATCTCATTGTCATTGGGTCACAGATTTGAAACTATGGCATGTTTCAAACTATGCAACCCATTCCCTTGAAGCCCAGTCCTTGTTGCTTCTGTTTAACAATTCTTCGATTGAGTGCTTTGTTGCAGGGGGAATTGAATTTTTTGACTATGAAAATTAATTGTTGGTTATGAACTTGTGTGCAGACTCAGATGCACTCACTCACACCTTATGGACAAGAACTGTTGTCTGATGATATGATCGAAGACAATATGACTTGGAACTTTGTTGCTGGGCTGACTGTTGCCCGTGAGATACTAGAGAGCTATGGCTGTGTCGTTCGCATTGTTTCACCTCGGATTAAAGATGCTCCACTTGGGGCTGGGGGAACTCGTGTGGAACTCTGGCTTCCTTCGTCAATTGTACAATCTGATTTGAGCAGCCACGCCCAAGAGGTATAGCATAGCATGAATTTGAAGTTCCCATTGAAGATAAATACATTCTTTCTATACAATTCTACATTGTTGCACTTGGCCAGTTTAAGATTGTGAAATTAAGGGGTGGTAAATATTACTAGTATAAGTATCCGCTTCTGTATATAGCTCGTAAAATTTCCTGGGTACAGACTTTAATTTTGACTTACTTGTGTGTCATATTATATAAACAAGTTCTTTTAACATAACAGACGGTGTATGCATATTAGACCACAGGAAGACTATTTGGGTTTATAAGAAACCACGTATCTGAAGCTTCTTTTTCTGTACGATTTGAATCCCCTTAATCCAATATAAAGAAAAGAAAATACTTTCTGTTTCGGAAATGTCTCGTAATTATCCTAATGTATTGTTGATTTGTCTCGAGTCCAGAGCACTACACAGAAATGTACTTCTTGATCCTTAAAGCTTAATTTTTTTTAATAAATAGATGTCATGAATTTTAATTCATTTTAATCGATATTTAAAATTTACTTTTTACAAAAACACTTTAAACTTTGATTTCATTTTAATTAGCCCTTAAATTTTGTCCTTTTGACGTATAGACCTTTCCATCATTTTAGTTAAACTATTTATCTTAAAACTTCAATTCATGTTTTTATTTTTGTACAACAATTAAAAGAAAAATAATAAAACGCAATATAAAAACTATTTAATTTATCAATTCTTAGTTTTATCGTGTTCTACTGCTTAAGAAAGCGATTCATAAATTAAAATTAATAAATGATTGAAATTTAAAACAAAAGTGGATAATGGTTAAGATTTCTTTATTACTAATTTAAATCCAAAATAATAAACTTAAGAATCACTTGGGTGGAAATTAAAGTTTAATGTATTTATTTGCAAAAAAACAAAAGAAAAAGAGTAAAAATTAAGAATCTATTGAAACCAAACTAAAATTCAAGATGTCTATTTTGCAAAAAGATAAAGTTTATGATAATTGGTTTTTTTTTTTTCCTGATATAAATTACGCGAGTTAAGTCTACAATGTTGAGGTTTGATATATTAATGTAAATGATTGAATCTAACTATTAAGTTTAAACTTATTTGTTTAATATATAAGTTTGATCGGACATTTTGTGTATAATAACAACAATGAAGTTTGAATAAAGAACCTCATACAGACTACTAAAATTCCTTGCTACTAGGTTACCTTAATGGATTTGATCACACACATTTAAGAAATGAAACTGAAATAACTTAAAAAAGAGGGACCAATAATACTAATGAATTGATGTCTCTTCTTGTTTGGGTGTGTTAATTATGTATATGCTTGGAGGAAATTTTTTTGACACTCATAATGATTCTTTGACTAGAGCAAGATTGTATCTAGTGAAAAATATGTAATAGAAAATAAAGAATTGTGTACAATAAAAGTTGAACTTAATTGTCTCAACAAAAAATGAAAATTTAATATATTAAATTATTTTATTTTGCAATTTTGATTCTTTAATATTTTTTATATTCAAAATTCCCATTGAAATAATTTTTAGTATGATTATTGTAATAGTCAATAAACTTATTTTGCATAGTGGTTAGATTTTTTATTTTTTATTTTAATAAAACAGATCTATGCATTTCATTTATAATCTGTTGAAAGATATATGAGAAAATGTTGTTAAACTCGTGGAGACCAACATAAGATACATTTACCTTAACTAAGTATCGGCTACTAAATTTGCGTGTTAAGTATGTAATCCACTAAGAGCCGGTAGGCACTTGTGTATCAAGGATCTATACTCGGATATATGTGGTTAGATGAGGATACAAAATCCTCTAAGTATATTTAAATTAAATTATAATAATTATATATATATATATATATATGTTTCTTCTTTTAAATCTAATTTTCATTTTAATAAAAAAATAAAATAAGATTATATCCTACTATTGCTGTCTCTAGAGATGACCCCATTCACATAATATCGTATTCATTGTTAATCTGCGTTTAGATTGAAGTGATGGCTAACAAGTATTTGAAAAAAAATGAACAGTTTATCGACCTTTCACTAACAAGCAAGACTACCTATTCCAATTATTTTCAAAGATTAGTTAACATATCACTTTCTCCGACAAAACGTACATGCATCTAAATATGGCTACGTGCTAAAACGAAGTAAAATATGAAATAAAGAATTAATTGATCTTAAATTTTGATGCATATTAAAATTAAATAAGCTTTCAATCCATTATCAAAAACAAATTCCTTCTGAAGATAAAAATTCAAAGAGGATATAATCTCTTTCAGTAAAATCTTTTTAATAACATTTCATCTAGATACATCAATGTGATAATCATTACAAATCCAAATTTGGCCAACGCAGCATGCGCTTGTGGCACACTAAATACAAATATCATTCCACATTTTTATATTACCTAGTTTTGGATTTTTTTTTTTCTGTAACGACAGCGCTCCAGAAGAATAGTACCATGATTTATGACCTCATATACTTGTCACTTACGTGCAAGTAAAAAAGGGCTATTGCTACGGTGCCCTTTTATACGCGGGGGTTTCAGTGTCTCTTATGTAAGGATCAATCATATATTGACATGTGAATTTTATAAATTGATTCATTGTGAACTGGTTAAGGGGTAACTTGACATTTTGACATATGGTCAAGGGATAATTGGGTAATTTTCACCAAGGGTGTTACTGTAAACAGAGGAGTACTCTAAGTCATCGCGTGACGACGACAACCACGGTACCCACACCGCTAGCACTGCCTCGGGGTCGGTGGTTTCTGGCGCGAGTTTGTTCAGCTACGCGTCCATGACAACATGTGGGATGGCCACGCGCGTGAGAGTCGCTGTTTACAAGAGGTTTGCTGGAAGAGAGGGTGTTTCAGCTCCAACATTCTGGCCACGATTGATAGGGCGATAACGGACAACTTAATGTTTTTCGTTGTTGCTCGGTGGTGAAGTGGCTAATTATTTCAGAGACCACGTAGCTATCGGATCTTTTTCTGCAATGGAGAAAGGGATTTTGGTTTCTTGCTCCGTTGGGAATGCAGGTCCTACTTCCGATAGTCTCTCCAATGTGGCTCCATGGATTACTCGGGTCCTAGTTACACAGGGAATGCTAGCAACGCCACGAATGGGAACTTGTGCGTGACGGGACGCTGTCTCCGGAGAAAGTTGCTGGGAACTTGCGTCACTTGCTTCGTTGGAGATGATTAGGGTTTAAGGCTCACAGACCAACTTGCTTCGTCGGAGAAGACGGAATTTTCAGATCTACAAACTTGCTTTGTCGTTTGAGAAACGGATTTCAGGAACGGGGTTCAAGATCGTTTTCACATATATCAAAATCCCAAATTACCCCTTGACCAGTTTACAATGAATCAGCATATAGAATCCACATGTCAATCTATGGTTGGTCCTTACATAAGGAGGCATTGAAACCCTTTCGCATAAAAGGGCACATTAGCAATAGCTGTAAAAAAGCCTTTAATTACTACCTATCCTTTTGCTAATACAAGTGACAAAATTTTAGGCCCCTATAATTTGAACCTGTTGTGGCGGTGGACCTCGTACTTCATGGTGCTGAAAGAAACGATATTTTTTACGTAAAATAATACTTAACATAATGTATATAATAAAATAACTAAAGATTGATGAGCCTGATATAAAATTTTCCATGCCTCCTCTCATTATAAATAGTTTCTCATTGCTACCACTTTTCTTCACCACACCCAGAGGTATGAGTTGTGTAAACTCATTAGTGTTGCTCCTCACCACTCCAGTGTTGGCTAATTTCAAGCCACCAATTTATGAGCCTTCCCCAGTTGAGAAACCACCCACCTATGAACCTCCACCACACCATTCTATCCTCCACCAGTGCACCACCCTCCACATGAGAAGCCATCACCACCCAGAATACCAACCTCCTCATGAAAAACCACCACCTGAGTACCAACCACCTCATGAACATCCACCACCTGAATACCCACCTCCTCATGAGAAACCACCACATGAGAAGCCACCATATGAGAAACCACCACATGAGGAGCCACCACCAGAATACCAACCTTCTCATGAGAAGCCACCACCAGAATACCAACCTCCTCATGAGAAGCCACCACCAGAATACCAACCTCCTCATGAGAAGCCACCACCAGAGTACCAACCACCTCATGAAAAACCACCGCCAGAGTACCAACCACCTCATGAGAAACCACCACCAGAATACCAACCTCCTTATGAGAAGCCACCACCAGTGTATCAACCTCCTCATGAAAAACCACCACCAGTGTACCAGCCTCCTCATCATGAGAAGCCACCCATTTACAAACCTCCACCACCTTATTATGGCCATTATCCACCATCCAAGAAAAACTAATAACAGTGGCCACCATCATATGTTTTCGTCTACACAAAGTTAGTGCAGTTGTGTTGGTCATATATAAAGATTTTTCCTTTCTTTTTTGTTTTGTTTGCGTTTAGCAAGCACTTTAAGATGGAAACTATAATCTGCCCTTCTGCTGTTCTGCATGCACTACTTCTTCAAAAGAAAGGCTCCAAGCCTCTGTGCAATCATTTCAAAGAAAGAATTTTTATTATATATAATTAAAGTTTATAATAAATTTATACTAATATATAAAGAAAATATCTATTTTAGTAATTATCTTGATTTTTATATTTTTTTTTTATCAAATTCAAGATTTTAAGACTCAAAAATAAATATAACACCAATTGAACTAACATATTTTTATTATTTAATCTCATTATTTTATTTTATTTTTAATAAAGATATGAAATATCTAGACTTTATTAATTATATATATAAAGATAAATATTAAATTATATTTAAGATTTATCATAAATAATTTATATTAAGATACAATATTAATTTTAATTTTTGATAATTTACTAAAGATATTAAAATTTAATTTATAAATAAATATAATAAATAAAAATTAAATTATATAAAAAGTTAAAAATATCTTCAAAATATTTATCTAGAAGAAAATTAACTAAAATCATTTTCATTAATGAGAAGTTGCTAAAAGAATTTCACGTAAGTACATATCAAATCCTATATATTAAATACGAGTTTCTTTTTTTTTTGAACGAAAACATTTTTAGGAACATTTTTTTAGAGTATTTTTAGAAATTTTCTTAACTATTTATATGATTTAATTTTTATTTATCTATAAATTATTTATTATAAATCTAAGATATAATTTATATATTAAAATATAATATTTATTTATATTATAAAATTTAATTATATATAATAAATATTTAACTTATGTATTTTACAAGATACTGATTTAATATATAGGAATCAACTATTAAAAAAATATTTATCTTGTATATTATATCTATCTAGTATGTATATATATTGAGAGATATATATATATCCTGGTCAAAATAAAAAGTTATGAAAGTTGTTAAATACGAGTATAAGGAGTGACTGTTTGAAATGCTGCTCCCTTGAAGAACAAAATGACTTCAACGAATCAACAAGATGTTTGAATTATATAATAACTTGATAAGAATATTAAAAAAACAAAAGAGGATAATATCTTAACTAAATATTTGAATTCGATAACCAACGAACTTTAAACAGAATTGATTTTGAAAGTGCGGCCAATTGATTAAATATGTCGACATCCACATACATTTTGTGTTTACAGTGTTGAAAATTGCGAAACTCAACTTCAACATCTACTCCAAACCCTAACACCTAGCAAAAAAAACTCGTTCAGGTGTACGTACGGGAAATATCCTTAACCATCACGTGCTTCAAATATCCATTCATTTATGACGTTATTACCGCCAATTTTAATCCCGCCCACGCTTACAGCACTTGAATTGAATTGAATTATCGATGATTATCATATCATATATTCATATATATCATTATCAATATCAACTTACACGCTTCTTTTCTTATCTTAAATTCTTCTTCAAAAGAGAGAAATCATCACACTTCACATTACTCATTAAGTTTGCACTCATATCATATCACACCACACAAAATGAATTGGGTTCGCGGAGCCTCTATTGGCCGTGGAAGCTTTGCCACCATCAACATCGCCATTCCCACAAACGATTCCACTCACTTTCCTTCTCCTTTTGTCGTCAAATCCTCCAACACTCACACTTCCCACATGCTCAACAACGAGAAACATGTCCTCCACAACCTAGGATCTTCCCCATACATAATCACCTGTTTCGGCGACGACCACACCGTCGAAAACGGCCAAGAGTTCCACAACCTTTTCCTCGAGCACGCCGCCGGAGGTTCCCTCGCCGACCACCTCGACAACCACGGCGGCAGGTTCCCGGAGCCACACGTGCGGCGATACACGAGGACCATAGCAGAAGCTCTGAAGCACGTGCACGCGCGCGGCTTCGTCCACTGCGACGTGAAGCTCCAGAACATTCTCGTTTTCGACGAGGGCAACGTTGTTAAGATCGCGGACTTCGGGCTCGCGAAGGCGAGAGGGGAGAAATATGCGAAGAGCGAGTGCAGGGGGACGCCGCTGTTCATGTCGCCGGAGTCGGTGAACGACAACGAGTACGAGCCGCCGGCGGATGTGTGGGCCCTCGGCTGCGCCGTCGTGGAGATGGTTACCGGAAAACCTGCATGGGAGGTTGGCAGCGGGTCGAATATATGGTCGTTGTTGATTCGAATTGGGGTGGGAGACGAGTTGCCGAAGATTCCAGAAGAGTTGTCGCAAGAGGGGAAGGATTTTCTTGGGAAGTGTTTCGTTAAGGATCCGAAGAAGCGGTGGAGCGCTGAGATGCTTCTCAACCACCCTTTCATTGCCCATCAATATGATCACACTGTTTCATTAGACAAAGTGAAGGACCCGTTACCGTCACCGAGTACCCACTTCGATTTTCCTCACTGGGCTTCCACCCCAACGCTTTCTCTTCCTTCTTCCCCGGATTGGTCAGAATCCGACGGATGGATTAATGTTAGATGAAGTTGCAGTTTTGATAACGGATTATTCTTCGTCACGTTATTTAGTTTTGTTGTGAATTAAGTTGGAACAGAACTTATTGCCGCCACCTTTGGCCAACTGTACAGAGATTTATTTCGTAAATATCAAATTTTTGTTTTACTTTCTAGGGTTTCTATTTTCTTTCCCGTGTTTACTGTTTAGTTTAGTTAACCAGTATGGTACGAGTGAGATCGATATATACTTACTGGTTTTAAAAAAAAATTTAATGTGTGTAAACAATTAATATATATATATATATATATATCTTTTTACTATATTGTATACATAGATATAGAAGTAAGACTATATCAAAAGCAAATGAATCTGCTATCATTTATGATAATTAGATAACAATATATATGAATTCTAGTAATCTAACTTTAGTAAATAAGTGATAGGAATAACACATCAATAAAAAATAATTTATGGAAAAAAGGAACTAAAACACCTTTTAATCGATATAGTTACTATATTTATATGTGTTCTTATCGGAGATCAGTCGTAGGAGACGATCTGCTGGGTAAGATTGGTGATACCTGTAAAAGAGACTCCGATATTAAAGTTAATGTTTGTGGGTGTATGAATCTCGTATAAGTAATGCACGTACCTTAATTTGAATTAGGGTTTATCTGGATTTTGGGCCTGAGATCGGTTATGACTTGTTCAGATAATGAACCTTTGTCTTAGCCGATGTCATGTGGTGCATATTCGATATCAATCTTCGCTGTGATGTCGAGCTCAAGCTCGGCTTAGCAATGTAGATAGTACAATATGTGTTAATAATGTTTTAGTTTTACATATTTTCAAACTTGTCATCATTAATTTAGAATAGTCAAAATATTTGATCATGTAAAGGACACAAAATTACAAGAAATAAAATTAAAAAAAGAATATATAAGGATAACTAATAAAAATAAGATGTATTAAGACTATGAGAATGTGTTTGATAAAATATGAAAGAAAAATTGAATAGTTTATACATTAGTTTAACTAAATAAGTTTATTTAGTATGTGAACTTATTTAAAGAATTTTTAACTTATTTTTTTTAAGTTTTGGCAGGCTAGTACATTCTTAAGTAATATATTTTTAACTTATTTTTAGCAAGCGAGTCAACTTATCTTGTTTTTGATGGATGGACTCTTTTTATCACCCTACTTTTTGGCTTGTTATCATGAAACTTGAAAGTATTTGTTTGAAGTTTATATTTTCATTTTATATTCATGAATTCTTAGTACAATATAATTATTAATTTGTTGAATTCGTACTTAGTGCTTGTTTTGTTTTGTGATTGACACTCATTTCAACTTGTTTTGTAACCTAAATTTAGAAATTGAGGTTTAGGTCGTTGTAGTTTAATAATTATGTAATTCTTAAGTCCAACGATAATAATAGATTATATGGATGCCCTCGCTTAAAAATTTATTTTTCATAATATTTATTAGAGGTGTAAGTAGTTATGGGTAATTTGTGAACTTAAAGTGATCCAATAAATTCATATCGAATTTTTTCAGTGTTTGGATTAGGCCCAATTCAACCCGACCTATCAAAATTTGATATTATATAGATCGGGATTTAGAGTTTTTAACTTGTTATCCAATCCGACTTGATCTTATATTGTTATAATAATAATAATAATAATAATAATAATAATAATAATAATAATAGGTTGATACTTACATTTTTTTTGTCCTATTGTTAACATAATTGTAATTCTCATATATAAGATTATAAAAGGTTTTTTTTTTTGTCTTATTTGTTGATAATAATGTAACAAATCAACAATGTTATTTTACAATTTAGTTTGTATCATTATTTACTTTACGGATAGATAATATTGTATTTGTAATAATATATCAAATAATTTATATATATATATATATATATATATATTTAAATATTTAAATTTTCATAAAAATAAATAAATTTAATTATGTTAGACTGATTAACACAACCCATCCAACCTGTTTGTAATTGGGTTGCGTTGTGTTGGATTAAAAAGGAATTTGCACAAACTCAACCCGACCTAACCTATTAAATTTTAATTGAATCGGATAAAATATTCACTTAAATCTATATCTTACACGTCTAAATCGGATAAATCGGATAAAAATAAAATTAAATTAAAAGAGGAAACCCCATTATAAATCGTTTGTTGTAAACTTACACGTCTATATATTGACAAATAGTCGTCTTCTATATCTTATTATATAAATATACTATTGCGATAAGAGTACGTATGCATATCGGATGTATTCATTAAACACTAAGCCTATCAATTTAATAATCAAATATGTGTTTTAATTTTGCAGTTAGCTAGGTATTCACACATGACTATAACTATTATTTTTATCTTATGCTCTATGTGTGTCTGTTTAGAAAATAAAATAAAATCTTATTAAAAATATTTATTATATAATACACAAATAAAAAAATAATATTTACTTTTTAAATATATATATATATATATATATATATATATATATATATTCATATCACATTCAAAAGTTATGTTATTAAAACAAATATTTATTACCTTTGTTAGGAACTAACTTTCATTGTAGAATTTTTTATATATATATATATATATATATATATATATATATATATATTCATATCACATTCAAAAGTTATGTTATTAAAACAAATATTTATTACCTTTGTTAGGAACTAACTTTCATTGTAGAATTTGATTAATCACTTTTAATGATCTCTTTTTCCATTCATATTATTTTCATCGTTAAGATATTATTATTTGATGGTAAATCGTATCGTTTAATTTTCTTGGTGCATTAGAGAAAAAAATGCTAGTTTAATTTTCAGAAGAGTAATGTTGGGACTTTCATGAGTCTATTCCAAAGAATAAATTATTTATGATATCATTCTTCTTTGGTAATTAAATTTATATTTAAAAGATAATTATAAAATTTAATTAAATAAAAGTCGGGATAAGTATTCATAAAATTTAGTGGTGCATAAATTATTTTGGTCGATCAATAGTATTTTCCCTAAATCTCAAAACGAGAAAAGCACCAGGAGCACTTGAGAGTGAGTCTTTGCAAGTGTAACCTTTGTTTAGCCAGCAAGCGGGGATAAAACATTGTGGAATTTGTCATCAACCAGCTAAGATGAAACTGTAATAATAATACAAATACTTCATTCAACACAAATATTTCAAGGTATTAAGAAAGATTCCCTATTTTCATTCAATATCCCCCATTGTACTGTGTACCAAATTGTTAATGATGAGTTAAATATTTTCTATTACAAAAGAAACTCCTAGCAGAGGGAAGGTAATTCCTTTCATACCCTTTTTATGAGGAAATTTTGGTGCCCTTTTGTGTTTATGATGAATGGGTTGTCAACACGTGGCTTATTTGTCCACGTCATTGTTAGGTTTGAAATTTTGACCAAACGGGTATGCATCCGACTCAATTGATTATCTAAGAACTATATTTATACTCTCTAAAAAAATATTTTAAGAAGTCTTGACTAATCAGCAAAATACAAAAAGGGTTATCTACAACTTTTACATATCTTATGTTTATAAGAAAAGTATTTCATCTTGAAAATATTTTGAGAAGACAACCCTTTATACAATAGTAGTTTATATTTAAAGATTGTTAGCTATTTATCAAATCAGTTGATTTAATATAAGAATTAATACTATTAATGTACGCATTGGATGTCATAGTTGTAACATCAATCATTGTAAGATTTTAATTAGAATGAAAACTACAAAAATCATGAACTCATATAAATATATGATAAATGAGTATAAGACTCAATTTTAGGGCTAGCTAAGACATGATAGAGTACACATTTTTTTGAATGTTTCAGTCTTGGATAATAGCTAGATTTTTTTCTAGTGTGTTTTTCATATCGAAATATTTGGTGTTCAAGTGGGACTTTAGGAAAACTTTTCTAATAATCACACTCTTAAAACTTTTAAAACTTGCTATTAATGACCGTTGAATCTATTGATCCTAAAATCATCGAATTTGTCAAACATGATCCCTCTCCAATTCTATCTCGTGTTGTATCATTTTCAAATAAGTTAACTAATTACTTTTAAATTTGATGTTTAATAGTTACTGTCTTCATTTATCTTATATATTATATTTACATGTTCACATCATTTTTTTAATCTAATTTTTATTTTCTAATAATGCAGTTTCGAAAATATATATTTGTCGAGACCCGGATAAATTTGGTAATATGACTAGTAGGAAGTAGTCATGATGCTAATTTTATTTTTTGTTTATTTATTATTTTCCTTTGATGTAGACTATTTTAACTTTTTTCCGTAAACTTTCAACATTCAAATTGTCAATTTTATCTTGTATTATGAAAATCTATGCATTTAATTCTTGCTTTGCACTTGTTGGATAGAAGAAATAAAAACACTAATTTATCTTTCCGTTATGAATATATTTAAGGTGGATTAATATGTATATTTCGATTTTGCATAAAAAATTGTATATTTCAATTTACAGTGTATAATAACAAAAAATTCCATTTCAATTTTGCATTAATGTATATTTTCCAATTTTTAGGAACATTTTAAAGAGAAATGCAATCAGGAAACAAATTAATATCTATTCTTTTGAAAAAAGAAAATCAGGACAAGTTTGAATATCGAAAAGTAAATAAATAAATAAATTGATTCATTAAGTTTTATTTTTTAATAAGGAAATAAGTTAATTAGTTATATGATATTGTCATTTGGTAATATTTCTGTCATTTACATGTATACGTGATTCTGTAAATAAAAAAAAAGTGTTATTATTATTTTTTTAATTATTAGAAAGATAAATTTTATCAAGTTTATCTATTCAAATTTTCAATTATTTAGTATAAGATGGGCCCGAGAGAGTGCTTTGAACATATAGAGAGAAAGGAGGATCGTCAGACCTCACGATCACGTGAGCGAGCTTTTAGGTTACAAGCAAATCGCAAAGTCGGTAGCGAGTGAATGAGTGGCTAGTGTTCGAAAGAATTACAATTCTTTGTAAAAATTACACAGTTTTGATTTCTTTTTAAATGATCTATCAACAACTTTTTAGTATTTTTATTTCATTAAAA